CTCCCCTATATATATATATATATATATATATATATATATATATATATATATATATATATATCTTAATTTGTTTACTGATTACTTTTCTGGGGTTTGAGAGCTTGTTAACTCATAAGTGTCGTACACGACTTTGCTTAGAAATTAGACGAAGACCTCGATTGTGACTTGGTGAATGATATCCACATCTTAGGGACATATTATAGAGACAATTGAAAATGTAAAGTATTGTTGCTAGGGTTATTCACTGTCATCCTAATTTTAACACAATTTTTTGTACTATTTTACTCCGATCCATCATTAGTTATTATACGATTTTGATGTTGGTGAGTACGGACTAGTATTTTCTTTTACTTCAATTTGGTGTTAACCTATTTTCATTCATAAAATGTTCATTCAAATTTGATATTTACGAATTTTTTGTTTACACTATAACAATATTGAATTCTAGGACGTCAAACATGTGTATACGTCATAATAAACTGTATTAGATATAAAATCTAAGTTTATATGACCAAACAGTTGTGTCTCATGTATAATATTGTTATAATAAGTCCGTAACTTGCTTTTGACATCCCAATAAGTCTTTAAAATACTTTTTTGAAATAAAATAGATTATTACTATTTTAATATGTCATTTGAAAAATGTCGTATAAATATAATTGTTCTACAAAAATATGCATTCATAGGGTATTTCTTAAAAACATAATATAAATAAAGTGATAGTATACTTTATTTTAGAAGTGTCCTAAGAATGTCCACAGTAATGAACCTTTTTAGAGGTTAATGACTTTGTCATATTAGCTTTCTTTCTCTACACATCAAAATTTTCTTCGTTCTTATACATTTTCTAAGCCTTTCACTTCAATCATAGACCGGTCCATAGTTTATATTACGGATGCTCAAACAACCGACCAACCCGATCAACTCAACCGACCCAACCTTAGAAATAAAAAAAGAAGAAGCTCCATCTGAGGTAATTTGACACATAGTTGATACAAAATTTGGTTAAATCGGATCTATTGTGTTGGAATCGGGTTAAGGTTTTTTGAAGCCAACTCAACCTGAGGAACTCGATGCCTATCTATACTATAGATTTAATATGATTGTTAAGTTCTTGATTGACATATGTATATTAGACATTAGACCAACCCATAACTAGCTATATTCAAAATCACATTACAATTTTATAACCGTAATTTTACTTTCTTATTTACATAAACTTTTAATATTTTTTTGAGTTTGTTAGCTTATTTTGTATGTTCTTATTTTGATTCCATGCCGTTTAAACACAAATAATTAGCTAGATTGTAAAATGATGTACTAGAGTTTCAACTAGTTCAACCCAACCAACCCAACCCAACCCGTACGGTTTGCTTTGGATTGGGTTGTGATTTTCGAAACTGCAAACATTATGTTGGGTTGTTCAAAAGTATTCAACGTGGTCAATCCAACCCATATGCATCCCTAATTTATATAATAAAAACTACAATAATAAAAATTATAATAATTAAAAATCAATTATTATGATTAAAATTACAATAATTGTCACACCCCGCTAAAGCGGAAACACGAGATGTAACAGGCAAGCGAGTCATAACAACAGTTTATAAATAACACCATACCAAGTTGTTTCCAAAAACAAAGTAGTTCATCGACATAACTAAAATTAGAATTTTACACAACGTTCTCAAAACACTTCAAAATCTTGACTTAATCGATCCATSCTCAAGTATGCTCCCAAAATCCAAATAACTTTACTTAGAACCTGAAAAGTATGGAATAAAACAAAGTCAACTACAAAGAGCTGGTGAGTTCACGGATTTTCACATGCATAAAACATTTCAATGCATAAACCAAGTAGTAGCAAACTTATGCGARYTHTTTGCACTTAATAAATGTAAATCTCTCACGATGTAAAACTTGAGACGCTACTGAGCCTTACCTGACCAACTTGCCCCATTAAGTTTCGAACAACCAGAAGT